AAATTTAAAGTATCATTTAGCTCGGTTTCAGACCATTTGAAATTGTAATACGTAACAATATTACATAGAGTAGACTAATTTTAATTTTGTTTTAGGTGTATGGATAAGGGTTTTCTACCAAAATATTTGGAAATAGTCAAAGAAAGGTTAATCTTGTTTTGTTCATATGGATAAGGGTATTAAGAGGGTCTTCTACCAAGAGTATTTGGAAATAGTCAAAGAAAGGTTAATCTTGTTTTACTTGTATGGATAAGGGTATTAAGAGGGTCTTCTACCAAGAGTATTTGGAAATAGTCAAAAAAAGGTTAATCTTGTTTTACTTGTATGGATAAGGGTATTAAGAGGGTCTTCTACCAAGAGTATTTGGAAATAGTCAAAGAAGGGTTTATCTTGTCTTACTTGTATGGATAAGGGTATTAAGAGGGTCTTCTACCAAGAGTATTTGGAAATGGTCAAAGAAAGGTTAATCTTGTTTTGCTCATATGGATAAGGGTATTAAAAGGGTCTTCTACCAAGAGTATTTGGAAATAGTCAAAGAAAGGTTAATCTTGTTTTACTTGTATGGATAAGGGTATTAAGAGGGTCTTCTACCAAGAGTATTTGGAACTAGTCAAAGAAAGGTTTATCTTGTCGTACGTGTATCGATAAGGGTATTAAGAGGGTCTTCTACCAAGAGTATTTGGAAATAGTCAAAGAAAGGTTGTCTTAGCAGAAGATAGCTCGCCTTAGCTTGATTGATTAGAGTAAGTTGTCTTTCTATTGTTGTTTCAAAATCTCGGTCAATCGATGACTTCAAAGACGTTTTAAGATCTAGGCTGTAGGTGGGCTATTTCATTACGTTGGAACTGTATTTTGAAACTAGGCATGGGCCGTATTTGCTGTATTGCAGAAGACATTACTCTGCTGGGACAACATATTATTAGTCTGTTAGTAAAATCATTCCACTGTAGCCCAAGAAATATATTCACCTAAAATCTCTATATATCCATGACGCTTAGATGTGTAGACGTTACACTGATAAACTCCGCTTCTCAACACGCAGAACGCAACCGACAGGAAAACCCTCCTCCTCCTGCAACAAAACCGACAGGAAAACCCTCCTCCTCCTGCAACAAAACCAACAGGAAAACCCTCCTCCTCCTGCAACGCAACCGACAGGAAAACCCTCCTCCTCCTGCAACAATTCCTTACCTGTCTGTTTCCAGATCTGTATTCAGCTATTACTTTAAACTTAAGTGAATAGTTTCTCATTAATCACAACATTGTAACCAACTAGCGCACTTTAAATATTGCCAAAAAAATAAACCATGTATGTTTGAGAATAATGTACAGTTTGCGCTCTCAGCACTTATTCTCGCATATATTGTCCATTCGCAGATGGTCGCTTTGGATGTAGTAAAGTTACTGTTAATACACTGAAAGACAATTTTCCTAGTTCTATCATGTAAACGTTTACCATGCTTTATCCAAAACATTGTGAAGTAAAACGTGTTTGTATTTTTTTTTTATTATTCAAATAATGTATAACTCGAAAAGCTTTCAGAAACTCGAATTTCAAAACGGAAATTTTAAGTCGTACGCTCAGTCCTTTTTTTTTTTGGCCACACATTTTTGTCACACCTAAGGTGTTTTTGATTAGATTTTAATAATATAAATACATCTTAATTAAGAATTATGCACATATTTTTACCATCATTGTACTTTGCCCCCAGTGGCTCAGCAGTAAATCTGCAGACGTATAACGCAAATAATCGGGTTTAAATACCCATGATAGGCCCTGCATAGATAGCTTATTGTGTATCTTTGTATGTAACTACAAACAAACCAAGAGACAAAAATCATTGTATTTTATTATTATTCTTTTTTTTTTATTGGATGTTCCTGTGGGTCGGGGACTACTGTTGTAGAAGGGACATATATGTGCTCATGGAAGTGAAAGAAAATAAACGTACATTGTAGTAAACTAAACACTCAACTCATTTGTCTTCCAAGACTCGACTTCTTGAGTTTCAGATCTGTAATCTAATAGATGGAAATTATTAATGTGTTTATTAAGTTATTCTTTCTAGAATACGAAAATTCGGTAGGTTGTGTATCATTTTAGCGGCTCAGGGGTTTATTGTTAAAATAACATTATGAAACATTGATACCCGAGCCTCGCGGTGGCACAGCGGTATGTCTACGGATTTACATCTCTATAAACCGGGTTTCGATACCCTTAGTGGGCAGAGCACAGATAGCCCATTGCGTAGCTTCGTGCTTAACTTCAAAACAAACAAATTGACACCGGTTAATTGGACAGAATAAGTCTACTGTAAATCATATTAAGCCTTCTATTATTTTTTTAGTACCAATTTTATGTGTTCTTGATGTGATCTTTTCTTTGTATACAAACCTAGTACTCGTATACGACGAAAAGTTGTGAAGAATTATACTACTGTTAATAAAAATAGATAAAAAATAGCAGATTTGCACCTAAATGTTCGTGGTTTGTTATCGTTTGGCTAAAAAAAAAATATTTCACTGCTTCGTTATGTTAGTTTGGAACAGGTGGGAAAGTTTTATAGAAGAGAAGCGCTGGATTTCGAAGCTGGCGAAATACGGGTTCGAATCCGTGTGATGCCACAAAATATTTTCCCACTTTAAGCTGTGTGTGCGTTATAAGAGTGACATTCAATTCTTTAGTGTGGATGGTGAGTGCTGCTGACCGGCTTCCTCCCTTCTGGTCAGTTGTTCAGAATTAGGTAGTCTACCTTTGTTGTTTTGGCATAAATATAAAATGGAAATAGAAATTTGTAAAAGACTGGAAAATTGTGAAGAAATGCATGAAATAATTAAGATCGATACATTACAAATCTGTAATTGTGCGATGATCATATGTTTATTAGGCTGTTCTTTGAAAATGTGTGGTATTTATGTAAGATTCGGTTCCTGAATGTTTAGATTTTAACACAGCTGTTATTTTGCAAAGTACGGTTATACTTAATGTAGAAAAAAAAGAAGAAAAGCTGAAGTTAATATATAATAAAACTGTTCCGTAAATGACGATAAAAATACTTGGCCAAATGTTTGTTTTTTTCCACAGTAATTTTACAGAAAAAATATTTTGTACTACGTTTATTGTTATGCCATATTACTGTTGCTTTGTAATTTTACGTTTTGTAGAGCTGGTCGATAATGTTACTTTAAAACAGACTTAGAATGTAATTATACCTGAAGATTAATCATTCAAATATTTTGATAGATTATAAATTATCGTGACTTTCAGTTGCATTAGTGGAGTTTGTTTCTTTCTATGCCATTATACGTCTGGTGTTGAGATTATTTCATTTATTTTCAAAATGTTTCAGATTGGTATAGAAGTTTGGCAATTTTTCATTGGAGTTAACCCTTTTAACTGGAATAATTAGGGGCGTGAGCTAATATATGTTCAAGTGGGCGACTTTTTCTTTTTAGATTTCGAGATGTTACACGTGGTCGGAATACGAATTCAGTATTTCTAAAGAAAGTTAACTGTTTCAAAATACGGAAACTGCTCAGTAGAAGGTGATAAGTACATAACGGCACAGCTGTAGGTAGGACTTTCTTTTATTATTTTAACATAAAGAATGGGGAATGAATGGGGATAAATTAGGGCGTGAGACGAAATACAGAGAAACCGAGCCGAGTTTTTTTTTTTTTTTTTTTTTATTACGAAATATGTAATAGAAGGCTTGAGATATCTCAAATCACAAGGTCGTGGATTGGAAATCTGTAAATGATATATTAACGGATTGTTATATTTAATACTTACTCCAGAGAGCTCAAGTATCGGTGCAGTCTGTTTTTCTGCAATGATAACGTAAAGGTGTTTTTTTTTTAGAAGGGTTGCGAAGGATCATAAGCAGAAGTCATGTGTTTGTTTGTTTTGAATTTCGCGCAAAGCTACACGAGGGCTATCTGCGCTAGCCGTCCCTAATTTAGCAGTGAAAAACTAGAGAGAAGGCAGGTAGTCATCACCATCCACCGCCAACGTTTGGGGTACTATTTTACCAACAAATAGTGGGATTGAGCGTCATATTATAACGCCCCCACAGCTGAAAGGGCGAGCATGTTTTATGGGACAGGGATTAGAACCCACGACCCGCAGATTGCGAGTCGAGCGCCCTAACTACCTGGCCATGCGGGGCCCAAACTAAGTAAGTTGCCATATTGTTTAGAGTTTTTGTGCAAAGCTACACAAGGGATATCGGTGAATAGCCATCCCTAATTCTGATTGTGTTTCTTTGTTGTGGAGCGCAAAGCTATAGATTAGATTATCTGTGATGTGCCCAACACGAGTATCGAACCTCGGTTTCTAGGGGACACCTTAATTGCGAACTGATAGACTATTCTGTAGAGGGTCGAAAACTATTGGGGTACGCTTGTCTGACGAAATAATGATATTTGACTGTCACGCTTATTGTGCATTTATGGCCCTAAAACGCGAAGCGTGGTTTTGCGGTGACGAAACGCGGACCATGAACCTCCAGATTCACCGACCGAGCCCTCCAGTTGTGTTGTTAACGTTTTAATGCTATTTAGACACATCTGTTGTGGTTTAAATTGATTCGTATATTTTACCTATTAAATTTAGTTTTAAGTTAATAACTTGTTCTCGGCAATGTTAACTTGTTCAGTGTGGTGCGTCACTATTTGCTGTTTAGTATATGTTGTTAACATTTCCAGTGTGATATTAATAAGCTTGTTCAGTTTGATTTTAAGTTTTCTATCGTTATACTACGTTCTATAGCGGAGTGAAAATGTATTCGGTGTGTTTTTACTTTGTAAATTGTGATCTACTATTGATCAGTATGATGTGAATGTGTTCGTTGGAAATGGTATACGTGATGCCAGCTTGTTCTGTGTGTAATGTGGTAATCTCAATGTTCATTTTGCTTTACTGTGTTATGACTTATTTATTGTAAATTTAACGTTATTTAGGTTGTGTAATTTGTGTATTGTCTAAACAAAAAAGGTGATGAATTACTAGAAACAAACAAACATGTTTTCGTTTATAGAACTATTGATCACAGAGGGATTGCTCCATCATTTTCCTAGGACAGGGGTGGAAAGATACACTGTCCTCCCATTAATTAGTGATTTAATTCCTGTCAAGTTGCACACGGTCATATTTCAGTTTGTGATAGACACAAAAACGCTAGCTTCATAAGGCTGAAAGTCGAAAATCCACACTCTCCCTTGCCTTAAACACAAATTCAAACAAACTAAAGCCTGCTTATTGATTTCCTTATCAATGATGCAGTGATAGAACGATAAATGACGTTATTTTCGTCACCACCGCACCGGTTCCAAGGTATATTTCATACATCTACAGGAAATACCCTATTCTATATTAAACATATTTAGCTCTTGTTTCTATGTGTATGTAAAACTCGTTTACGAAAACTTATTAGAGCTTAGAATACCAAAACTTAGTTTTAAAAGTAGTCACCAAATCTGGCACATTTTAAACTATAGATAGGACATTATTTGTTTTAATAATGGGAAAAAAATTGTATACAAAGTAAGGATGAAAATTATAACTTATAGATACGTTTTCCTATATCTGATCGCAACGTAGGTCCATATTTTCATTGGGGTTTGAGTTTTAATGTTGACCAAAAACAAACAATATTATACTACCGAACTTTTCATCCAAAATAATGCACGTGTTCAGTAAAAGCAAATAGGAAAGTGGGAAAGAATGAAATGGCGTCAGTTCGGTTTGTTGTCTAGAAAAATATGCTATTGTGAGATAATTATAGTCTATTTTTATAGACGACAAATTGAAATGACGCCATTTCATTCTTTCTCCACTCTCCTATAATATTTTGCAGATTGTCTAAAATTTAAAAGCCCTTTCTGCAAAAGCGCGTTCACCGACGTAATTTTTGTTTTGGTTAAGCGAATGAAATATAGTCGTAAACAAGCGATTACCTTTGCTGTGTTTTTCTGCAGTTGTGATAGAAAAAATGCGAGTCGTTAAGGTCGTTGTTTTTTTCATGTTTTTTTTCCATAATGTTGAAGTTGACTTTATAAAGCCCTAGTAGTTAATCAGTAGATATTCATTAATTATTAAGTTGGAAGCTAGGAGACGTTCAGATTAGAAGATTAAATAAATTTTTATTAATGTCTTAAATATACACTTCGTGTTGTTATCTTGGCATGTTCAATTTTGTTGTCAGAACAAGCGAAATAGAATATTTTTGCGATAACCACGCGTATACTCGGGGAGTTTAAACAGTAACCATATCAGCACTAGACTGTGGGTACACATGTTAATAAACATTAAAAATTGGGTAAATGCATGTTTGCATAAACGTTACAGGCAAGCTTATGGGCACTTTCTCTTGTATACATGGAAATTCACAGTTCTGTTATCTTTTTCGAACTGGTTTCACAGCTGGTGGTTAGTGATCAGACAAATTGTTAAGCCTTAATGGGATATGATTACTCACCACCCATTTCCTCTGTCCTCATTCCATATGAATGAAGGTCAGAGTAGAAAGTCTGCTGCAAGTTAGTCTTATCTCCTGAAATATCTGTTCCCTGACAGGAATAGATATATGTGTTTATCTATAAATGACGTGAATCGTGCATTAGTGGTTCTGCTTGTTCTCCTACACAAAACTAGGGAAATATGACCAGTAGTCATTTTTCTGTACGTGATCCTTTACAGATATTATTTTTTGTATTTATCTATTTATAGACGGATTGATAGACATGGAAGTATTTTCTGATAATGTCGTAAGAAGTAAAAGTTTTTCACTGGTTCTCTTAATCCCCTAAAAACAGTAGTGAACATAGAACTTTGATCTACATTGAAACAAAATGAATTAATGGATGAATGTTCTGAAGTTAAAACGAACTTAAATAATGGGTTATCTGCGCTATGTCAGCCGCAGGGATCGAACTCTAAATTTAAGCTTAATATGCCATTAAGTTTACCACTAACCAAAGTTTTTTTTTGTTTTGTTTTTTTTGCATTCTAAATAGGTAATTTTTCTTGGTCCATGAATTTTGACATTTTTGGAACATGTTTCGTTAGTTATCAAAGAGTCACAAAACAAATAGCTAATTAATTTCTTTTTTTCTAGCGAATATATTTTCAGGAATACGGTATATTGTGTGATTAAAATATAATCCGCCTTCTTTGAAATGATGCTCACAGCAGTAACTATTAATTTTTTTAATTCTCTTCCTCTAAATATGCTGTATTTTCTCTGGTTTTCGTATCTGACCGAATGTGTGCCATTGTCTGTACTCTGTAGCTGATACTTTGTTCAATGCAACAGTTCTTTTGTACTATCTTTCCGATACTTTGTTCAATGTAACTGTTCTTCTGTACTATCTATCTGATACTTTGTTCAATGTAACTGTTCTTCTGTACTATCTTTCTGATACTTTGTTCAATGTAACTGTTCTTCTGTACTATCTTTCTGATACTTTGTTCAATGTAACTGTTCTTCTGTACTATCTATCTGATACTTTGTTCAATGTAACTGTTCTTCTGTACTATCTTTCTGATACTTTGTTCAATGTAACTGTTCCTCTGTACTATCTATCTGATACTTTGTTCAATGTAAGTGTTCTTCTGTACTATCTATCTGATACTTTGTTCAATGTAACTGGTCTTCTGTACTATCTTTATGATACTTTGTTCAATGTAACTGTTCTTCTGTACTATCTTTCTGATACTTTGTTCAATGTAACAGTTCTACTGTACTATCTATTCTGATACTTTGTTCAATGTAACAGTTCTTCTATACTCTGTATCTCATACTTTATTAAATTTAACCGTTCTTCTGTACTTTGTATATGATACTTTGTTCAATGTAACAGTTCTACTGTACTATCTATTCTGATACTTTGTTCAATGTAACAGTTCTACTGTACTATCTATTCTGATACTTTGTTCAATGTAACAGTTCTTCTGTACTATCTATCTGATACTTTGTTCAATGTAACAGTTCTACTGTACTATCTATTCTGATACTTTGTTCAATGTAACAGTTCTTCTATACTCTGTATCTCATACTTTATTAAATTTAACCGTTCTTCTGTACTTTGTATATGATACTTTGTTAATTTTATCCGTTCGTCTATACTCTGTATCTGATACTTTGTTCATTTTAACAGTTCTTTCTACACTTTGTACAATTTAACCGTCTTTCTATACTCTGTATCTGATACTGGTTTTAGTTTACACATATTTCATCTGGTATTTCTTTTACCAGTTCAGTTAGCTCATTTTTATCTGTATATTTATCATGTTATTACTTTCCATTATAATTTTTGTAATTGTTCCGTTTTATGTCACGCCTTTTATTACTGGTAATCTTTCTTCCCCTATAATTCATACAGCTGCTCATCTATCTGTTGTAATCAGTCCGTTTTTCTAGTTTATTTTACAGCATGGGTTCTATGAATCTATTCCAATTTGGAACATAACACACGTGACTTATTTTTATATCTTGCCATTACGCTTTGAAATCGCTGCAGGAAATAAATTCAAAACCATCTGTTAAATTTCTTTCAACCATTTTACGAAAATACGGAATAAAAATTAAACGTAAATACTGAAATTTTCAAGTACAAAAAAAAATATTCTATTGTAGATTAGTCTTGTTTTATTAATTTTAATTTTGATGCCAAAACATTATATTATGTTTGAATGTATTTTATGATTGTAAATTAATAAATGTTAAGCCGAGGTACTGTGAAGCAAGTATATAATTCGCTGGCCAAGGTAAAGTTAAATGTTGAACGACTTTTTGAATGTTCAAAGAAATGAAGTTATCATATTACAGATTCAAGCTCTGATTATACTTCAGAGAACTTGCATTAAAGCAGATGAATATACATTAGAACTTCTGTACAATCTCGACTCGTCTAACCATTTAATTTTAAAGAACGGGAAAAAGTATTAAAGTTGTGGGTTAGATCGGTTTTATAGGAAACAAGTACGCCATTTCACTTAATAACTAATTTGTATAATACTAAACATCATTATAATGTGTGAACTGACTAATAAAGTAGAGATATTAGGACCATGTTTTGCGCTTATGGACCTTTGAATAAGTTGTATTAACTGAAGAAATGAAAAAGAAAACCGTATTTACGCTTGAGCAAGTCTATACGCACAACAAGGATATGATTTATTTATGCTACTATTTCCTAAGGTTTTAGAGTTGTTGAGTTACTCGTCGCGACGTTCTAGAAGTGTTAATATCATCTTACTTTTTTTTCATTTTAACTCGGATGAAATTAGCAAAATGTTTTTTTTTTGACCTTTTAAAATATAACAACATATCTTTCAACGTAATGAAATACATTATTTTAAATATTTACAGTTATAACAACTAACTTGTATATAAAATGCTGACATTCAGTGTGTGTGTGTGTGTGTGTGTGTGTGTTTGGGTGAACACACACATACACACACATCTACAGTGAATCGAATGAAAATACTGTACACGTTCAGAAATGCACTTTTTTTCAGCCCTGTGTAGACTGTTTTCCTAGAAAAACATGTGCGTTGCACAGAAAATACGGTTATACAGTCGCTGGAAAGGCTTGTGATGTAATATGGGATATTTCAAAAAATAAATTATAAAAACTTTCTTTTTCTCTTAAATTAAAATAACAGATCTGTACTTGGTCGTAGAGAGCTCTAAAATATTCCAGTTTCAGACTTTGCTTTCTTTGTTTTCCTTGTGTTTCTGTGTATTGTAATACGCAAGGACTTGTTTATGATTTTTTTTTAACCTGCTTGACATTTTAAAGACAAAAGAGATTTAAAGGATGAACCATTTTCTTAAAATTATTACGAAGAAAGTTTCATTGTTCGTGTGCAGTAAGTTCACTAACGTTTATCAATTTTGCTTGTTTATTTGTTTTTAACATAAAGGTTACAAACTTTACAACTTTTAGGTTAGAGGAAAGGACCTGATACATTTATTATTGCCCCTAAAGCTTTCCCAAAGGGAGTTCAGTGGTCTCTTGTGTTTAACGTTTACATGACACGGCGCTTTCTATTTCCAGATGTAGAAGTTGGGTGGTCATGAAGGCGGTTACCATGGAAACGGCAGATGACAGCGGTTACAAGGCTTGTGAGGATATTGCCAATGTGCGTGTTTTTGTGCCGGACCTACAGCTTGAGGTATAGTAATTTGTTATCTATTCTCTTATAATCATTTTGTATGTTTCTGTACTGTTGTCGTTGACTATCCATAAAATAAACCCGTGGTTCTCAACCTCTTCTCCGCTGACTACCCCTAAGGGTTTCGTAGCATTCGGGGGGGGGGGGTACTCTAAAGATCTAGTTTCATATCGTAGTTAAGAAATAAACGATACAGTGTTATATTATGTGGATATACGGTTTAATTTGAACATTTCACTAAATTAGATGCTTATGTCACTGCCGCTTTAACATCTGAGTATGGAAATACATGAGATTGGCTTGTGAAGAGAACGACTGGTTTAGGCAAATAAAATTAACTTGTGTTGGTAATAAATATTTTAGTAAGACGTTTCTTAGTTTATCACATCACACGGCTTTCAACGCTTTTCGTAAGTGTATTAGAATATAACAATCCTTTATTTACACCACATGGTAAATTAAATAACTCAAAAGAAAAAACCTTGTTCGACGACTTCATTTAAATTTTAAAAAAAATGCAAAAAAAAGCAGGACATCTTATTTGCTGTCTGGAATAGTTATGATCTTATTGTATCACATTTAATAAGATGTTCGAATTGTGTTAGCTTCACACTATAATAAGTTGTAAAAATAAATTATGCTAAATATGTTTTATCTTCTAAACTTGATATAACTGGTATTAACACCTCTTTTTTAATCTTCTAAACTTGATATAACTGGGTATTAACACCTCTTTTTTATCTTCTAAATTTCATATAACTGGGTATTAACACCTCTGTTTTATCTTCTAAACTTGATATAACTGGGTATTAACACCTCTGTTTTATCTTCTAAACTTGATATAACTAGGTATTAACACCTCTTTTTTAATCTTCTAAACTTGATATAACTGGGTATTAACACCTCTTTTTTATCTACTAAACTTGATATAACTGGGTATTAACACCTCTTTTTTATCTTCTAAACTCGACATAACTGGTATTAACACCTCTTTTTTATCTTCTAAACTTGACATAACTGGTATTAACACCTCTTTTTTATCTTCTAAACTTGATATAACTGGTATTAACACCTCTTTTTTATCTTCTAAACTTGATATAACTGTGTATTAACACCTTTGTTTTCGTCTACATTTGTTCTAACTGTGATGTTTTTTTTTTGCGTATATTTTTAGTCAAGCCGTTATTGTTTCGCTTTACGAGATGCATATTATTTTATTATGTTTACATTAGCTTTATTTGTGTTATTTGTTTGATTGTCTTAATTGCTATTTTCTAGTGCATAAACTAATTTCATTCTAGCTGTTTAGTTATATCATTTTTAAGTGTGCTGTTTGCTTCTAGGTATATTCGTTTTGAGTATTCCATTACTATTATGTCTAGGTATGTTAGTTTTAAGTGATCATTTTACATCTAAACGTATCATATTAATATGATTTTTACGTCTAAAGGTACATCTGTTTAAGTTTGCTTTTTTACATGTGGGTGTATAATCTTAAGTGTGTTATTTACATCTAGGTAAATCAGTTTTTAGTGCTGTTATCGACAGTGTATATGAGGTTTAAGTTTAGATGTATCAGTTTTTCGGTGTACTGTTTTTAGCAAGAAATACAAGTTTTAATTTTGCTTCTGTTTACATATCGGGTGGTGTTTTATTCATATCCGCTTTTTAAAATGGGAACTCCGAGGTTGACACAACAACATCTAAAAACATTCATCGGATGGTAAAATATCGATATAGAGCATCTAAAATAGTTAGGGAAGGTTTTTTTTTAACTGAATATTTTCCTTTTATAATGGCGGAATCTGGAAGAAGCGATTTTCCTTTCATCTTTTCTCTTCATCCTCTTTACTATGACGTACAAGCATGCAGAAAGATACGTGCATGTGATTGGCTTAATGGGATACACATCTTTGTGCTTATACGCTTTACTAGGTATTTTAGAATGCTACGACTAGAGACAGTCCAAATCCGCGGGAAAATTCGCCAAAATCTATAGAAATTTTAAATAGATATCTGCGGGGAAATGTAGAAATAACTATATCAAACAATTTGTTTGTGGATAGAATAACTGATCGAACAATTTGTTTGTGGATAGAATAACTGATCGAACATTTAGTTTGTAAAATCAAAAGAAAAAGAGACAAATATAATTTATACATACATTATAAATTATGTAAAGATTCATTTTCTTGTCCGTCTGTTGTTTATCATTACAAAAATAAACTTGCTGTTTTAGATAATAACGAATTACTGTTTATCTGCTTATCTCTCTCAGCTTATCCTCTCTCATTGTCTGTCTCAGCACCCCCTACCCTCTTACACCTTTCTTTTCACAAAATAAGAACTGAAGCGTAACTGACCCCACTCTCTTATCTTGCATAAACCACCTTTTTTGACTTTAATTCCACAATCAATCAGTTCTTATTCTCTTCTTGCATTTAACTTCCATATACGGCTATTTATCGTCCAAGGTGGAATCTTCAGACATTAACGGTAGTTCTAAATATGGCGTCAGGGATGAAGTCACAAATAACTAAAGAAGTCAATAATTAAAAGGGACAAAAAGACATATAAAATCTTCATATTTTGTAACAATTAAATGTTGGAATAATAATGTGCCATTTTTCTTTTGCATTCCATTTTATTTCACTGTTTTGAAAACATTTTGTAAAATAAAAAATTACAAGTTGCCCATGATAACAAGTGTCCAAACGTTCAGTTAATGGACTAATGTATCTTGATGAATCCCGAAATTGCATTCTTTCACACATTTTTCTTTTTCCGGGTTGACTGACTTAATTGAATAAGATGCTCAGACTTGTAGTTCATGTTGTCATTAACTTTGAAGTTATTTTCTCATATAAAGGTGATTTTCCCCCTGTTTTTAAGAATTTCTCTATGCGGCAAATGTTCACCTCCACATCTTTCTTTATTCTCGTAAACTCTGCGCGTGTTAAAAGTTTATAAAGCTATTATAACATTTATAACATCCTTTATATTATAGCTTCGTTTTAATATTCCAATATGTGTTTGCGGATTACATTGAAATTATTTGAATTGTGTGTGTGTGTGTGGTAATAATATGAATTTTCTTTTTGTGATCTTTTGATATCTTTTTATTTTGGTTTCTGAATTTCTGATCGTGGAATTTTCTTGGCTTTAGTTATACTGGTATTTATCAAGTTTCTATGTTTTTGCGGTTTTAGTAGAAACATTTTCAATTCTTCTAGTCTTTTTTTTTCTCTCTCTTTGTTCTCATCATTGGACACAATTGTACAAATTCTTCCCTCCATATTTTATGGGCACAAATAAAAGTTTTAAATGCTATTGATCATAAGTATTCTTATAGTAGATGTCGATATAGATTTTTTTTTTGCCGTATTTCTTTATTAGTATATTAATAAATAATAACTCACTGACGTTCAGTTCAATTGTGAATTGTAGATTCGTGTAGAGAATTTAAAATATTCAAAAATAAAAATGTAGATTCGTCTTTGATTTGTTCCAAAATATTAATAATCTAAATATCTCTTTCAGTTTTATCTGAAGTATTTTGAAAATTCATTTTCGAAATTTCTCTTTACTCTTTCATATAATTTTTCTTCCAATTATCTGAAAATGAGGATGGCGTAAGTGGGTGCAGATTCGATTTCCATCGCTATTCACTTAGTTGGAAGATACGTTTGTGTCGTTGAATCAGAAATAATTATTTTGTAGTATAGTTTCTAATCCCTGTAATATGAAATCCTTGTTGAATCTTACATATTTTTCAATCCAAAAAACAAACAAACAATTTTTAAGACAAATTCAGTGGGAATATTGGTATAAAGGTTTATTACACCAAAGTCAACCATCAATGTTGTTTCTTCCAATTTTCTTGGAATGTGGTTAATAAAATCATTGTCATCACGATTAAAACTAGGTATGTTTGGTAAAAATGTATTAATAGGTCTTAAGGAAGGTTGTTTTATTCTAATTTATAGCTACATATTTTTCTACCTTTTCTGTTTTTCGCTTTCTTTATCACATACAATGTATGAAGTAACTATGGAAACAGTAAATAAAATAGGCATAAAATGCAAATGTAATGGGATAGCTCCAATATATTGTATGAAAATGAATTGCACCATAATGTATCACGATTTGATAGCTTTCACTGTGATTGCCTGTCATTCATTCAATCAGACAGTGCCACGCCAGAATATTGTCTATAAAAGTACAGGAAGTCATACTTTTCCTAGTAGTAATGTGATAAGTGTACTCATGGCTCTACAGAACAGAAATATTACGTGATAAACGTGTAGAAATCAAAGTTTTAACTGGTGAAGGCTGTTCCATGTGATAGAGTGAGGCGAAATTTGATGTTTCAGTAGATTTTTGTTTGGGATATTTGCATAAAGCTACTAAGCAGCTATCTGCGCTAGCCGTTCCTAATTTTGAACTGATACACTAAAGGGATGGCAAGAAGTCAACAGCACCCATCACCAATTCTTGGGCCACTCTAGTTTAACCAAATAGTGGAATTTAACTGTCACCCTTATAACGCATCCATGAACTTAAATTGCTATGTGCGATTTTTTTTATTTGTGTGTGTGTGTGTGCGAACAAGGACCCGCAGATCCGGTGTCGACACACTAACAACTGAGCCACGCTCGGTCATGTGTTTTAATATAAACTGTATAGAAACTAAAGAAGGTATGTGAAACTAATTCTGTTGGTAATAGAAGTAATCAAGATATAAAGCTCAAACTCTTCAAAAGTGATGTTGACTAACTTATGGTATCCTCTTTCCACGGTACACAACAATAGTTGAGATCTTGCCAGTGACACAGCTGTAAGTGCAGATATGAATGTTACCTCCACAAAAGTGACATAAACATTAGCCTGAAGTGGCCCTAAGAAACGACTGATTAGCAGATATAACCAAACCAGAGGCTGAAATGGCCATCAGATATCAAACTATATGATAAAGCTGGAGATATGAATCTTAGTTCCAATTATTTGGCAGCAAACAATGGTAGTTTTTTTATGGTAGAGAGGAGAACGATATAACAATAAATGTACATCTACACTGAAGTATGCTGGGGAGTTCAATATAAATCTGGGCTGCATTTCAGCCAATGATGTTAGAAACCTACATAAAATTGATGGTACACCAACTGCAGACAGGCACAATCAGATTGTTATGAATCATACCATTCCTTCAGGAAAAAAGATTTGCTTCGTAGGGATTCATCTTTCAGCAAGAGAGTGATCCCAAGAATCCAGTAAATGAGGTGAAAAGATATCTGGAAGACAACAGAAGCCGATGGGACGTATAGAACCATAGCTTGGCCTGTATAAAGTCCTGATATGTATATTCTGGATATATGGATTTATATGGAAACTGAAAAGGTAAAATGGCAACAAAACCACTTGGCCGAAATTATGTGCGTAATACGGGACAGTTGGAACATTAAATAGTGCAATGTTCAACTTAGTTGCTTTTCAATATTGTATAATAATATATACATACTAATGATAAATTGACTATTTAGTTACTAGTACGCATTGTTTGCGACTCCTGTATGTGTATCAGCTGTGTGCGTTTCCATAGTTATTTCCAGTACCCTATATGTGAACACAGTTCCTGCTTCTTACATACATCGATATTTTATTACAAACATTTATTACAAACATTTGACAAACACATACAAACATTTTCCATTACTGTTATAAAGGTGAAGAGTAAGATCATACTTTACGACCTGAAAAGGCTGTACGTGGTCTAAACACTGACTAATGGAAGTTATGTCAATATCGATACACACATGCCCCCCCCCCCCAGTGGCACAGCGATATGTCTGCAGGCTTTCAACGCTAGAAACCGGGTTTCGATACCTTACCCGTAGTGGGCAGAGCACAGATAGCCCATTTTGTAGCTTTGCGCTTAACTCCAAACAAAGTAACAAACAATCGATACACACACCTACATACGTGCATGTTTTACTCCCCTGTTATTTGTTCTCAATTGCCACCTACCGTGTACTCCATTTGTAGCTGGATTTGGAAAACTAGAGCCATGTGTTTAAGAACACACAGGCAACGTTTTCATACCAAGTAAATTTTGTCTTGTCAGCGGATTTTAAGTTTTTACACTAAACGAGAAAAACGGGAGATAAGAGTTAGTTGTGTAATCTGAATAGTACGTCACTTAGATAGAATTGCGAATGAATAACGAACTTATGAGAGGAAGGATCTGCTGTTTGTTAACCCTGACGCGTGTGAGAGATTATAAAAGAAACAAAATTAGAATTTCTGACTTCGCTGTATAGCTAGCTCACTTATCCCATAAGGTACCATGCACATTAAAAATACCAAACATGTTACATGTGTCTAAAGATAAATGACAGTTTGTCCAGTTTATACAGTGCTTTTCTGAAGATATTGACAGACAATTTTCAGAAGACAGCCGAAATCATCACAAACATCATCTCAATACATCTTTATTGTTACAGATGTTTATAAATGTATGTAGGGGGAGTGGATGGTGGTAAAGGATGGTAAAATAACATTCGTTTTATACTTTTACTACATCCGTATATTTAATCCACTGACTTGTTAATATCATTTTTCTCAAGATTGTGAAAATAATTTTTCGTTTTAATTCTAATGTCAGTTATTTCATTTTTGAGGCCATTAAGATATTTTAAAACATCTGGAACTAATTTCATTATAAATTTGTTTTGTTTTGAATCGTATAGTTACGCCCAACGTCATACCATTTTAACCCATAAACTGACGGCTTGAAACTCAGGAAATATTGCTTTTGAACAAGATATTAGATTAATGGTTTCCCCCTAATTTTTTTTCTCTTTTCAGAAGTTTTTTCAGTTTCACCAAGAAGAGTTGGTGTGGGATGTTAAACAACAAATTCTATCCTCTCTACCAAAAGTAAGTATATTTTAATTTGTAAGCCTGTTCCTCGCTCTTTTCTCATCCCAAAGGTAAAAAAATTTACATTCGCATTTGTTAGTCATTAAGCATGTTCTCTCTCGCTCATTTTTATTGGCCACAAAAAATAAACCTCTATAAGCATGTATAGGAAAAAGTAGAGACTAACAACAAAAAAGTGAGACTTGCGTTGATAAAATTTCTGTAATCTGTTCTTCAAACATTTGGAGTAACGTTTATAAATCTTAGTAGTGGAATATAGATATTTTATGCTTCAAGCCTTCAGTTTTCAGCTAAAATAATAATTTAAGTTTAATGTAAAAATATCGGTGAAATATATTTTTTTGGTTAAATCAGAAATAATACAGCTTTTTTTAATGAACTTTAAATAATATGGTAATGATATGCTAATTATTATTATTATTAACTACGTATTTAGTCAGTGCAACATATTTACATTAACATACAGAACAAAAGTTTCCCAAACCAGTAGGATTGGTGAAGGAGACACTCTCATGCCTGTTCGAACTCAACACACACACCCAAGGCTGTTAGGCGTTTAGGCCTTACACTCACTGTTTAAATACCGTGTTACGACTTAGCTATAAGATAATTCTCTCGTGTCAGTAGACACTAAATTTCATGAAATTTTCCAAATATAAAAAAAAAAAGTATTAATCTCTTTCTCTGTTCTCACAGGAGCTAAACGAAAGTGTCAACTATGGTCTGTTTACTACTCCGAAGAATGGAAAAGCAGGCAAATTCCTGGATGAAGAAAGGCTTCTGATCGACTATCCGTTTAGTGAACCCGTGGGTTATCTTGAAGTACGTTTATTAATCAAGTTATAAATATTAAAGGCACTTAGACAGGAATTGTTCTTATAACAATTGTTATACATTTGTTTCAACAATAGTAAATAATAAGTAGATATTCTAATTAAGACTACTGTCAGCAAACCGCATATTGAGCATTTGTTTTTGCTTTGTGAATACGTGTGTGTGTGTATAGGTTGAAAATAATATCATAAGTTATTGCAGATGTTATCAACTCTTTGTTAACACGCCATTATGAATAAAACCAACCGAAAGTAATTTCCCGCATTCGAAAATGATCGAAAGTTCGAATGTCTTTTTTTTGTACTACACAAATATTTACTTATTTTTAAGATGTCGGTAGTAAGAAATGTTTCTATACTTGTATATTTTTACTTGCAAATTCAAAGTAATATTTACGAAAGTGTAGAGAATACCACTAATTTGGCTTTGTAGTTTCATATGTCAGTCTTCATTTGATTTCATTCCGGTAAATTACTAAGTCACATAGTTTTTAATCTTAACATGCCGGCATTAAGTGGGGATACTTGAGGCTCTATAAAGTTCGTGTTACTTTAGCTAAGTACATTCTTGTAATGTACACAAGTGAACGTAGTTATGTTATTTAGGTATGTGAAACATTTATAGTGTACTACGAGTTAGCTTTGTTGTGTTTTTTTAGGTAAGTGAATCTTCTATAGTGTAGCACGAGTTGGCTTAGTCATGGTATTCAGGCAAGTAAAACTTGTATAGTGTAGCACGAGTTGACATAGTTATGTAATTTAACTAAGTAATACTTGTATAGTGTAGCACGAGTTGGCTTAGTTATGGTATTTAGGCAAGTTAAACTAGTATAGTGTAGCACGAGTTGGCTTAGTTATGTTATTTAGGCAAGTT